CTAAATTACAACCAAAATTGTAATAGCGGTAAGTCGGGTCGTATCCACAGANCACAGAGACTCGGTTTCAACTTATTATAGCCAAACTAATCAAGTACAAGTTGACTAAATAAAAGTAAATACGAAGGGGGGGGGGTTGGATTTGATTAATTAAGCTAAGCATATAATTAAAATCAACTTAAAGCAAATAAATAAAAACCCAACATTAGTCACTTTTGATTAAGACGGTGGTACTAATCATCGATTCCAATAACGTAAACGTAATGAATAAAACCAAGTTGATTATAGTCGTYAATAAGCTYTAACGACCTATRTTTTTCCTTAAGAAACACCGGCTAAAACAAGCTCTTTAGCCGGATCTTAATCGCAATTAAGACGTTGAATAAGSTCTCAAGTCTAAAAATGTGCAATTAGCTTTATAGGACTAGAAAAACATCAACTCAAAGCCWTAAGCTYATAAGCTCGACTTAATGAGGCTTTGGATGCAAGATTTCAAAAATCTAATTCGGAARCCTCRACRAAACCAAATAGATTTAATTGTTACTTTATCAAAATGTAAAGACGATTACGTATCTCAACTTTTGAATAACAYTATTTCATAAGAACACCAAGAAATTGGCCAGATTACTCAATACTCAAAATGAAATTGACATTAAAATRGAAATCAAACATATAATTTCATCCCAAACGATTACAATGGAGTCTCAAAGTAACCACAATCAAAATCTAAGCAACTAATGTTGGAAAGAAAAGGGTTTAGCCACACATGGCTAAACCTAAATTACCAATTGCAATAATTAAGAAAAATACCTAAGAAATTGAAAGAAATTGGGTGAGATGTTCTTCCCCCAAAATCGTTTCTCCTTTGCTCCTTGCCCTCAATTTCGATTTTTGTCCGTGTATCCCTCAATCGACGGTTTTTGCCAACCCTTTATACCCGCTGATTTTGAACGCAGAAAATAGAACGTGGGTCGTGGCTTACCGCTCGCTGGATAGAAAAGAGGAACTCGCTGGATACGGGAGCTAGCCAGCAGCGAACGCTGCTGTCCAACGTCGCTGCTGAACGAGAGTGGAGGCTGTTATGTGCGTACAAGGATGTGTACTATAGATGGGCTTGGGTTTAGCCCCCTTTTGCTTTTCTCTTTTAACTGAAATGGGCCTCATCCTCTTGGGCTGCATATAATAAACCAATCCACAATTATAATGGATCTTAAAGTTTATATATATTTAAAACAGAACCGACCCAAATCACAAATAATAGATAAGTGTTGTATTATTTTAGAAAAACTCACTAATTTCCGGGTAATTTGATAATAAAAAATATAATAATTTAAGCATTTATCAAACATCCCCACACTTAGAACTTTGACTGTCCTCAGGCAAACACTAAGGTTATAGCACGATGTAAACTCAYGAGTTGATTTTTATGAAATCGATAAAAGACACATAGCATTTCATGAAAATGTGTCTTAACTGACATAGCACCAATTGACACACAATGCAAACCAAAGATGAATRATTGCTAATCTCACAAACACCTCACAAGGATATATATCTACTTTTAATCTCTCATTCACACAAAGGTGTAAGTGTTTTCACTCAAAGCATCAATTCACATGAACACATTATACCATAAGCTTGCATTAAGACTCGATTCTCCATTGCTAAAGGTCAACACTAAATATGGATCAAAAGGTCTTTAAATCGGGTTGTAACATGGCTTAGGGTCAAGGTAGGAAAAATATGGGAAAAGTGACTAAAATGGGACTTTGAAAATTAGACTAAAAAATGAAAGCACATACTCCCACAATATCGCACACTCAAGTAATTTATTTCATTTTGAGCTCTTATTTGACTAAGCACACACTTAGAAGACAATTGTATTTCTTTTCAAAATTGGTCTCCATTTTCTTTTTCTTTTTATAACTTTTGTGCCTTTTTTTTCCATACTTGCTCTTTTTTTTTAATATATATATAAGGAGTTTAACTAAAATACTACAAAATCTCATTCCCAAAGTCCGGTGAGGAAAGTGTTTGGCTAAGGTTTAAAACGTGGTGTAATAGCAAAAGAACGGTAGTTGGGCTAAAAAATGGTGATAAAAAAGGATAAACACACAAGGGTAGGCTTTTAGGTTAGATGGTTTAAAATAAACATCAAAGACGGTTTTTTTTTCATTTCCATACACTAGTATCGCCTAAATGCAATCTTGAAGAATCCTAATGCAAGTTCTAGAGTAAAATGAACATGGAAGATGCAATGCACACAKAAATGAAATAAGATTGAATAAAATGTTCAATCTCGGCTCAAAAGCTCACGGGTGCATATTTGTTCTATAAAATTAGCAAGACTCACAACGGTTGCCTCGAATGTGCTAATCACGACTATACAAGTAAGCACATAATCATTCATGCTATGGTTTTCATGGCATTATAAGCAGAAAAATCTCAACTCGTATAATTTACTTTATAATTGCCCCGAAAACAAGTCAAAAATTCGAAAAAATAGCCCCTAAATCATGCAAAATCCCCACACTAATTCCCATCCCCACACTTAAACCATATATTGTCCTCAATAAATGCATGTCATGGCATAATCTATAAGCAATAAAAATAAAATGGAAAGAAAACTCCCCTGAATTGAAGATGTGTGCTCAATACATGGTTTTCGGTGTTGGCGGGTGCCTCCGTGCACGTTGGGGGGGGGGTATAGAACGCCGACCTGGGAAAAAACAAACTCACCGACTCAAAATACGACTAAAAATAATTAAACTAAACTAGAAAAGAAATAAAGCAATAAAATTGGGTTGCCTCCYAATCAGCGCCTTTCTTTAACGTCTTTGGCTAGACACTTCCCTTTCAACTCCGCCTTATCCTTCATGGTTGGTTTGTTCAAACACTTGTGGCACGGGAGGATTAAGGAAATCTGCAAAATACTCATAGGGCATACCGTTAAGGTGTTCATTTAAAGAATTAGCAATAAATGCAACTTTTATATCCTCAGCCTCCATAGTAACGATATCTTCATCTAAATCAATGATGGTTTTGGAAGTGTTCATAAATGGTCTCCTTAAGACAATTTCATCATAAATAGCGGGGCTACCCGCTCCTAGGTCAAGCACATAAAAATCTACAAGGAACACTAATCCGTTTACTTGAATCAAAACATCCTCTACCATCCCCTTAGGGGGTACATCATGGCCATCCGGTAATTGGATAAGTGAATTGGTCACTTTCAAGGGACCGATNAAGAATAACGGGAGATTGATGAGAAATCTTGCTCCTTCGATCGATGCCTCTCCCTCTTCTTGCTGTCAATCGACAACCCCTTCGATAACCTGCTGTCCGATCGACAGCTTCTTCTTCTCCTTCTCGGCTGCTGCCTCTCTCGCCTCTATCTTCAATCGACAGCCCCTTTCTTTTCGACAGCCTCCAAAACGAACAGCCCCTCTTTTATCCACCGACTTTGCTCCCTCGATCCCTCTCTGCCCACGTCTTCCGTCTCGCTGCCCACGTCTTCCATCTTGCTGCCGATTTCTCTCGATCTCTTGCTGCCTCTCCAGAAACTGCTTCTGCTGCTGTTGGACTGCTATTTTTGCTGGGTTGCTGGACTGTGGGCTGCTGGTGCTGTGGGCCTTGATGAAGTCCACAAAAATGTTTCTTTTTGGGCTAGRCTTCTACAAACAAACAAAAAGATAATATAGATTAAATAAACACATTATTTTCTCATAATGATGAAAATAAAAGGCTTTTTAACCTTAATTTTAAACCAAGAAAATATAGCTATCAAAACATCCCCACACTTAGAACTTTGACCGTCCTCGGGCAAACACTAAGGTTATAGCAAGAAGCAAACACACGAGTTGATTTTTATGAAATCGATAAAAGACACATAGCATTTCATGAAAATGTGTCTTAACTGACATAGCACCAATTGACACACAATGCARACCAAAGATGAATAATTGCTAATCTCACAAACACCTCACAAGGATATATATCTACTTTTAATCTCTCATTCACACAAAGGTGCAAGTGTTTTCACTCAAAGCATCAATTCACATGAACACATACTACCATAAGCTTGCATTAAGACTCGATTCTCCATTGCTAAAGGTCAACACTAAATATGGATCAAAAGGTCTTTAAATCGGGTTGTAACATGGCTTAGGGTCAAGGTAGGAAAAATATGGGAAAAGTGACTAAAAYAGGACTTTGAAAATTAGACTAAAAATGAAAGCACATACTCCCACAATATCGCACACTCAAGTAATTTATTTCATTTTGAGCTCTTATTGGACTAAGCACACACTTAGGAGACAATTGTATTTCTTTTCAAAATTGGTCTCCATTTTCTTTTTCTTTTTATAACTTTTGTGCCCTTTTTTTTTWTTTTTTTTTCTTTTGTTTTTTTTTTCATACTTGCTCTTCTTTCTTTTTTTTTTCTTTTTTTTTTATTTTTTTTTCATACTTGCTCTTCTTTCCTTTTTTTTTTATTTTTATTTATTTTTGAATATATATATAAGGAGTTTAACTAAAATACTACAAAATCTTATTCCCAAAGTCCGGTGAGAAAAGTGTTTGGCTAAGGTTTAAAAAACGTGGTGTAATAGCAAAAGAACGGTAGTTAGGCTCAAAAATGGTAATCAAAAAGGATAAACACACAAGGGTAGGCTTTTAGGCTAGATGGTTTAAAATAAACATCAAAGACGGCCTTTTTCATTTCCGTACACTAGTATCGCCTAAATGTAATCTTGAAGAATCCTAATGCAAGTTCTAGAGTAAAATGAACATGGAAGATGCAATGCACACAGAAATGAAATAAGATTGAATA